CAGGCTGGAGTGCAATGGCGCAATCTTGGCTCACCACAACCTCCACCTCCCGGGTTTAAGCTATTCTTTTGCCTCAGCCTCCCAAGTAGCTGGGATTACAGGCATGTGCCACCATGCCTGGCTAATTTTGTATTTTTAGTAGAGATGGGGTCAGGCTGGTCTCGAACTCCTGACCTCAAGTGATCCGCCCACCTCGGCCTCCCAAAGTGCTGAGATTACAGACTTGAGCCACCGTGTCCAGTATTTTTTTTTTTTAAATGAAAGAAAAGAAAACCCCAGGCTCTGAGAGATCTTGTCTCAGCTGAGGCCACACAGGTAGAATGTGGAGGAGTTTTCTCACTATGGATGGCAGGTAGCATAATGCCGCCTTAATATTTGCTACAGTAAATTATTATACAACAAAAATGCGGGATGTGAAAGCCCGTGCCTTGGAGGGACGATTTCATCCTCTTGCTGCCTGGCGACCTCATTTCTCCTCACTCCCATGTTCACTGGCTCTAAGGCCACCCATCACACAGATGAGCAAGCAAAGCCCAGAGTCAGGGGGTCATGTCCAGGCCCCATCTTCCACCTCTCCTCTCCCTGGAAGGCAGAAAAACAGTCCCACGGAGCGGGGCCAGGGCAGGGGTCTCCGGTGGCCATATCCTATTTGTCTTGATGCTTGCCTAGCGGAGTAGGTCAGAGACTGCTCATTTTGCATCTTTCACCCTAAAACCAGGCTGCTTCTGCCCCAGGCCCCATCTGGACCCCACGTGGCCCCATCCAGTCTGTTTGGAGGAGCAGGCTACAGGGGCCTACGCTCCAACTCCAGAGACCCCGCCGTGTGGCCGCCCTGAGCTGCTCAGGAAAGATACCTGTGGGGCTCCAAGCCGCTGAAAACCTCGCACTGAGAATCCTGAAACTGCAGGTCACAGCCGGAAGGATCTTGGAATGTTAAACTTCAAAAGACTGAGCATCTCAGGATTTGGGTCAAGTAGTCATCAATAGAAGAAAAGGCCCCCAATAACTGAGGTGCATGTGTCTCCTGGATCCCAGAGCAGATCTAAGTCCGGGTGGACAGGACAGGCCCTGCCCTGGGAGCCATATCAAACCAGGTCAATCCCAGCTCTGTCCCTTACAAGCTGTGTGACCTTGGGCAACTCACCTCACCTCTCTGAGCTGTGGGTTCCTTCGCTGGAATACAAAGACAATGGTAGCACCTGCTTTTCATGGGGTTGTTGTGGGTTGAAGAGGGCCAGGAGAATGCCCCGTCCTCCCAGAAGCCTTTCCGGATTGCCCCAGGCATGATGAGTCATCTCCCGTGTCTAACCATTTTAACTGTTCATTTACTTTCTAAAAATGTATTCACATTGGCCCCTAAACTTCCAGGGGACAGGAAGCACAGCTATCTTGCTGATCGGGCCACAGTCCTGGGATCTGGCCGATGAGCAGGCACACACCTCTCTCAATGCTTATCTCAGTGGCTCAAAGCCACCGAGGCTGTCTGCTCTGCTGCTCCCACCAGACCGCAAGGTTTTGGAGGGCAGGAGCTCTCCTGGGTCTCCTGGCAGCCCCAGGGGCCTCACTAAATGCCTCTGCAGGACAGGTCCTGTGACTGAGGCAGGGGACCATGCCCAGAACTGCACAGCACATGCTGTCTTCACACTTTTCACACGACATTTACCAGCTGACGCTTACCAACCTCGTTCCATCATCTACCCCAGCTCACAGCAGGGAGCCTCTGTAGACAGTTTTTCCCTGCTCACCATCCCCCTCACGAAATGTTTACTTATTTACTTATTTACTCTTAGGGATAAGGTCTTGCTCTGTTGCCCAGGCTGGAGTACAGTGGTGCAATCACAGCTTACTGAAGCCTTGAACTCCCAAGTAGCTAAGACTACAGGTGCATGCCACCAGACCCGGCTATTTTTAAATTTTTGTAGAGTTGGGTTTTCTCCACGTTGCCCAGGTTGGTCTCAAACTCCTGCTTCGGCCTCCAAAAGTGCTGGGATTTACAGCCGTGAGCCACCATGCCCAGCCCTCCTCACGAAATTTTTTTAGGCTGGAATGCAGTGGCACTGTCTTGGCTTACTGCAACCTTTGTTTCTCAGGTTCAAGTGATTCTCCTGCCTCAGCCTCACGAGTAGCTGGGACTACAGGAGCGTGCCACCAAGCCCAGCTAATTTATTGTATTTTTTGTAGAGACGGGGTTTCACCATGTTAGCCAGGATGGTCTCGATCTCCTGACCTCGTGATCTGCCGGCCTTGGCCTCCAGAGGTGCTGGGATTACAGGTGTGAGCCACCACACCCGGCCCTCATGAAATGTTAATAGCACAGACATGCTGTATATCTGTTTGATGTTTGGCAGTTCAGTGTTAGTTGAGATTTTTTTGCGTTATCCCCCCACCAACTCCGCCAAGAACCAAGTTACTCCTGTTGGAACCCAAATTTGCTGGCCTGATAAAGCAGAGGTAAGATACTTGCTTGGCACAAATGAATTCAATGAGACCTACATCTGATTTTAGTTGAACAACTGTCTTTAAACCATTTTCTAGAGAACCCCGTGTAGACAGACAGATCAACAACCACAGACCCCCAACACACACACACCTGCCATCTTATCTTCATCTAGACTACTGGCCCCACTGCCATCTTCCTGTTCAAGCTCGCAAAGGAGATCAAGACACAGGCCTGGGGTCACCACGAACTCCGTGAACGTCCTGCAGCCATAACCACTCTGCCAAAGGCAGCCGCTTCTCCCCTTCAAGCCTCAGTGTTCTCATCTGTAAAAGGGGCACTGTCCACCCTCCAAGGTTCTCAGATGATTGATTCCCCAGCTCTTTTGAATGCCCTGCTCCGGGCCCAGCCTGGCGGCCCAGCCCTTCCGCCATCTGAGATTCAACTCCCCTGGCTGCTGGCCAAGGATGTTGAGGGAGGCATCAACCACCCAGGGCGCGGCCTCCCCAGGCAACCCCAGAGGAAGCGACTCTGGGGGCGTCCGAGGGCCTGGGAGCCACCTTCTGAAGCCCTGACACACTGAGGGGCCTGGCTCTGGGGCTCTGAAAGTCTGAGATGGGGAAAAAAAGGAAAACGGAAGTAAGAGGAAAGGGAAGAGAATTCCAGGCAGCAGAAGCCTGGATGTAGATAATATGGAGGGAGAGTGTGTGAACGTGTGTACAGCGGGGCACAACTGGCCCCCACCATTTCCTTTTAGTGTCCTGAAAGCATCTCAAATACCAACTAATAAGAGTAGTCTAATTTTTTTTTTTTTTTTTTTTTGGGATGGGGTCTCACTCTGACACCCAGGTTGGAGGGCAGGGCACGATCTCAGCTCACTGCAGCCTCCCCTCCCAGGCTCAACTGATCCCCCCACCTCTGCCTCCCAAGTAGCTGAGACCACAGGCACACACCATTCCGCCTGGCTAATTTTTTATATTTTTGGTAGAGCTGGGGTTTCACCATGTTGCCCAGGTTGTTCTCGCACTCCTGAGCTCAGGCGACCCACCTGCCTCAGCCTCCCAAAGTGCTGGGATTACAGACGTGAGCCACCGCACCCGGCCAAGTATTCTAATTATTATTATTTTTTCCATTTTGCTAACAATAGTATCCTAATTCTAATATTTTCATAGTTTGCCACAGACAAGAGTCATTTTCTCAGTCTTATAAAAAGGGGGAAGAATGCATCTTTCTCTGAAAACAACTTTTTTATGTGTCCATAATATATGTAGCTTTTTTTTTTTTTTTTTTTTTTTAGTGGCGGGGTTTCACCATGTAACCCAGGATGGTCTCGATCTCCTGACCTTGTGATCTGCCCACTTCGGCCTCCCAAAGTGCTGGGATTACAGGCGTGAGCCACCATGCCCGGCCTAACATGTGCACCTTCAAGACAAATCCTGCACTCCCTCTACTTTCTGGAATCTTCCAGACCTAATCTCAGCTCTGCCCCTAAACAAATCCTTTCACCTCTCCAGGCCTCAGTTTCCCATGCAGGAAAGGAGAGGGTAGGATAATTTCTAGAGAAACACTCATGGTTTCTCTGATTTTCAGAACACCCCCAAGCCGGAAGCTGCAGGCAAAGTGGCTGGGAGGGAAGGAGGTTAACGGGAGGCTGGGGGTGGTGGGTCACGCCGTAATTTCAGCGCTTTGGGAGGCTGAGGCAAAAGGCTTGAGGCCAGGAGTTTGAGACCAGCCTGGGCACCCAAGTGAGACTCCATCTCTAGGAAAAGTAAAAATATTAGCTGCATGAGGCGGTGTGTGTCTGTAGTCCCACCTACTCAGGAGGCTGAGGTGGGAGGATCACTTGTGCCTAGGAGTTTGAGGCTGCAGTGATCCGTGATCGTACCACTGCACTCCAGCCTTGATCCGTGATCGTACAACTGCACTCCAGCCTGGGTGGCAGAGTAAGACCTTGTCTTAAAAAGGAAAAAAAAGCAGGAGCAGGATTCAGAAGAGACACCAGAATAAGGCCACAGACTCCAGGAAGACTTTAGTCTTGAGCCAGAGGAGCCTCAGTTCACCCTCCCCAGGGGCTGCAGTTCAGGAAGGGCCTGGAAGTCCTGCCCGGGCCTGCCAGCAGCTATGAGACAGGCCCCTGGCCCATGGGGACCTCCAGCCACTCCCTGTGGTTTTGCAAGCCAACACTTACCACCGTGCTCAGCAGAGCATGGGACAGCTGCCTCGTGGGCCCAGAAGAAGTAGCTTCTCTGCTTTAGTGACGAGGACTCAGCCTACGCTGTCGGGCACTGCTGTGGCACCCCCT